CCATTAGCCACTAGTCTGATGCCCCAGACTAGAAAAATTTTATTCGGACTAGTAAGTTTTTGCAAAATTTTGTTTAGACACATAAGAAAAATGTTGGAATATTGGTCTTCGGACTAGTATTTGGAAAAGATTTTAGTACAGACTGTATGACTGTGATAATGACAGACATGAACCAACGACAGCTTCTGAAATACAGGCTCCTGACTTGGGACAGGCACATAAAGAATGTGGCGGGGTTAAAAAACTTTGTGAGGGTTCAACCCTCCCCAAAACCTGGGACAGTGGTGTTAAGCACAACATAAGGACAAACTGTAAAAATCAGTTGCAAATGGCTTGAGTTAGTAAAGCCGTACGAAACACAATTAAACCAACTCACATTAAAAAAAAAAGCACAAAGCACCGATATATGAGTACTCACAGTTACTAAAAGCTAGTTCAAAGCCAATTACAACTTATAAATAGATCAAGTTTTCCAAAACTAAAGTATCAATCAATATACTTCCAACGAATTTAGTGTAAGACATCATAAACAGTCTGAGACACTCATGATCTTGTGCAATGCCAATGAATAAGTAAACAGTATCGACACAATGTAGGTACATGAGTACTCGATCATAACTGTACATATATAGCAATGTATATTTAGTAATGTTTTAATTAAATAACAAAAAAATTAATTTTAGTACAGAAAAAAAACAATATACAAAGATTTCACTGTGGTGTTAAATTGATAACCTTTAAGAATAAGTTTGTTCAAAGGATCAACCAGTTGACATGGATGGTATCTAAACTTATGGGCTTTATAAACAATACTTTCGAAAAATTTATGATTTGATATACCGCTTTTAATAAGAATTCTACAGGAACAGCCAAACTTCCTAACGAAATTTTTGTATCTATGGAAGAATTTAGTAAAAGTTTTAATTAATTTGTGGGAACAAAATCCCTGACTTAGTAAATATACCAGTTAGACATGAATTACGTTTATTGAAATCTTAATGACTACAGACACATGTTAAGCATGATTATGATGGTTTTGACCTGTACCTTTCAAGAGTAATGCCCCTTTCTTTGTCCTAAAATTAGATTTTTAAACACATTTCTGGATCAATTTTAAAGTAGTACATGACCAAATCTGTTGAAATTTAAACACAATGTCATGGATCACTACAGGTCAATTTTGATTTTGATGATCTTCACATTTACAAATGGTAAAATGGTATGCCCCCTACTAAACCTAAACATTTGATTTTTCTAAACTGTTGGAAGATTAAGTAATGCTTGATAAAATATTAAGAAATAAAAACATAATGTCACTAATCATGAAATACAGTATCAAGTTCGATTTTGATGATTTTGACATTTTCAATTGTAACCCTTTGTTACTTTAATCATTATTTTTTCATGCCCCCTCCACGGCGTAAGGGGCATTAAGTTTTACCCTAGTCCTTCTGTCCGTCCATAAATCTGTCAGATAGTACGTCCTAAAATTAATTCCAGTTCTCTAACTTTAGTTTGCCTCAACCAAATGTTATAAAACTTATACACAATGTGTATTACCACAATACACAGATCTAGTTTAAAGTTTAGTGCTGTCACTTTTGCTGTTCTTGAGTTATGTCCCTTTGTAAAATGAAAAAATGCAGAATTTGTCGTATATTTGAATCAGGGGTATCTGTGTCCCATGGACACATTCATCATTTATTTTTTGGTTTTTGTTTGGTTTCAAGGTGATAAAGAAAATACCATTTGATGAAATCATTTAACTCTTACCATGCTGAATTGTTTTCAGAAAATATCTTAATATTTTCATGTATTTGTAAAAATATGCAAATTATATGCAAATTTATTTTGCAAAAGCAAGACATATATAGCAATCATAAATTCCATCATCGGCGGCGTCAACATTTAGGTTAAGTCTGTGATTAAAGTTTTTTTTAGACATTAATAACTTTGTCAAACTTACATGGAATTTTATGAAATTTTGACAGAAGCTTGTTTATGCCCAAAATATAGTATCCAGAGCAAAATGTTGAAAATATTTATTTTCATTTTCCGTATTTTACTAATAAATGGACTTAGTTTTTCTTACAGTTAACATTCAGATTTAGTCTGAGATTAAAGTTTTTTTAAACATCAATTACTTTGTCAAACCTTCATAGAGTTTTATGAAAATTTGGCAGAAGCTTTTTAATAATTAAGTAATAATGTCTGAAGCAAACCTTTGAAAATATATTTTTTTCATTTTTAGTATTTTTCTGATAGATGGACTTCATTTTGTACAGTTAACATGTACATTTACAGACAGTGTGAGATTAATTTTGTTTTAACATAATAAATTTGTAAACCTTCATGGATTGTTATGAAACTTGGACAGAAGCTAATCTTGAAGACCAAGAAATAGCATCTAAAGAAAAAGTTTGATTCTTTTTTAAATTCTGTGTTTTACTGATTAAGTCAACATTACACTTTTACACTGACAGCAGCAATCGCAGGCGAGAAACTGGGTTCCACAGAACCCCTTAGGAATTTTTACCTGCTTGGCCAACAGAGAAAGCAGGTCTAATAAATTCTCGACTCCATCTGTCATTTCATCATTATACCCCTGCTTTAAAAAAGTGGGGGTATACTGTTTTACCTCTGTCTGTCCATCCGTCCATCTGTCCGTCCATCCCCATCCATCCGTCAGTCCGTCCGTCTCATGAATATTTTTTCGTCGCATCTTTCTCAGGAACTACATTTCAAGGATTTCTGAAATTTGGTTTCAGGGTTTATATGAGTCAAACTATACCGTGTGATGCATTTTCAGATTCATTACTCAACAACTTCCTGTTTACCGAACACTTACGGTACATCATTTTGCACATGACATCCAAGTTGAAAATTTTCGTCGGATTTTTCTCAGGAACTACATTACAAGAATTTCTGAAATTTGGTTTCAGGGTTTATATAAGTCAGCTATACCGTGTGATGCCTTTTCAGATTCATCACTCAACAACTTCCTGTTTACTCTCAAGTATTTGGGCGGGGGTATCATCTAGTGAGTGAGTAGTAGCTTGTCTTGAGTTAGAGCCTCTAGTGTACAGAATTTGCTGCTATAGAATTATTGTTCCTTGTCCATGTTCATGATGTTGTCACTCAGTTTATTTGACAGTCATGACAGTCTGTGCAAAGTATTTGTAGTACTCATATTTAATTAGAATAGGACTAAATATCATTTACATTTTTGAAAAAACAAAGGATTGTGACAAATATTTAGTGATTAAGATGTTCGCTATAGAACTGAAATCACTTAGTGAGAATGTCTGTCATTTGGTGTATTTGACCATAATATCAAATTGTCATTTTAATTTTAAAATACATGCCTGAGTTATGGGACTTTCACTTATTTTTATGCCCCTCCCATAGCGGTGGGGGCATTAAGTTTTACCCTTGTCCGTCTGTACGTACGTACGTCCATACATCCCAAAATTGGTTTCCGTTCTCTAACTTGAGTTTGCCTCAACCAAATGTTATGAAACTTATACACAATGCTTATTACCAACAAAACACAGATCAAGTTTGAATTTTGGTGGCGTCACTTTAACCGTTCTAGAGTTATGCCCCTTTATAAATGGAAAAATTGCAAAATTTTAGTTTCCGTTCTCTAACTTAAGTTTGCCTCAACCAAATGTTATGAAACATATACACAATGCTTATTACCACAAAACACAGATCAAGTTTGAATTTTGGTGGCGTCACTTTAACCGTTCTAGAGTTATGCCCCTTTATAAATGGAAAAACTGCAAAATTTTAGTTTCCGTTCTCTAACTTAAGTTTGCCTCAACCAAATGTTATGAAACATGTACACAACGCTTATTACCACAAAACACAGATCAAGTTTGAATTTTGGTGGCACCACTTTAAACGTTCTAGAATTATGCCCCTTTATAAATGGAAAAATTGCAAAATTTTTATTTTCTTCTAAATATCAAGTAATTTTTAAAATTGGAGTTATCTTCCTTTGTCCATGATTATAGTTGAATCAGCTACAATCAATGCTTTATACAATGCAATGTTTAATTTGACTTCCACTGATAAAACACAGATCAAGTTGAATTTGGGTAGTGTCACTTTAACCATTATTGAGTTATGCCCCTTAATAAATCGAAAGATTGCAAAATTTTTAGTTTCCATTCTGTAACTTAAGTTTGCCCCAACCAAACATTATGAAACCTATACACAATATTCATTATCACAAAACTAAGATCAAGTACAAATTTTTTGTTTCCGTTTTCTAACTTTAGGTTGCCTCAACCAAATGTTATGAAACTTATACACAATGCTTATTACTACATAATACAGATTAAGTACGAAATTTGGTGGCGACACTTTTACCATTCTTGAGTTATGTCCCTTTATAAACATAAAAATTGCTGAATTTTTCGTTTCCGTTCTCTAACTTTAGTTTGTCTCAACCAAATGTTATAAAACTTATACACAATCGTTCTAGAGTTATGCGTGTTTACAAATAGAAAAATTGCTGAATTTTTAGTTTCTGTTCTCTACTTAAGTTAGCCTCAACCAAATGTTATGAGACTTACACACAATGCTTATTACCACAAAACTCAGATCAAGTTCAAATTTGGGAAGCGTCACTTTTACCGTTCTTCAGTTATGTCCCTTTATAACTATATGATATGCAAGCAGGGGCATGATGACATCTGTGTCCACATGTGGACACTATCAACATTTTTTAACTATTGTAACATTTTACATGCTTATTCTTTAATTGTTTGAGTATTTGGTCATGTTAGATTCTTCAGTTCACATTAAAAATCTTGATTTTAGCAAAATTTTCAGTCCTTCACTTTTTACAATGACAACATTTTCCATATAAATGACAGTACTACCCCGGTAATTGACTGAATGTTTATAAAACATTGGAGAAAAATATTATATGTGTTTTCACAAATTTTTCATTTATGGTTTTCTTTTCATAAATTTTCTCAGATGTTAAAAAGTAATCCTGGAAGTTAATAAACAGACCACCAGAAAATCATGAGAAGTGCAGCCATGAGCTAAGATTTAAATATGTGTATGAATAGCTATGATGAACATTGCATAAAGAAATAAATTGGAAGTCTGAACAAAAGAAAAGTATAAACTTGATTATTATAGCCTAACATCATGGCATCTAGACTTTCACAAGAGGAAGAAAACTATGTCAGGATGAGCTTATTACTGACGGGAATATCTCCTCGTGCAGCACGAGCTTTGTTTGATCAAGAATTTGCTCCATCATGCTTGGGTTCCTCACTGAAGAAAGAGTACAATAAACTGAAAGACCTTCAAAAGAAGCGAATAATAAACCAGTCTCAGTGGAAACTCCTGACCCCCCGGTCACCTGGTAAGTATAGAGACATGTTTCATGTTAGTTACAGTGAAACTAGTATTCCCTAGATTTCCTGCTGAAAAACAGGGAGATAAGTCATATTTCAATCAAAAGTAAAATAACAAAAATACTGAACTCCACGGAAAATTCAAAACGGAAAGTCCCTTAACAAATGGCAAAATCCAAAGCTCAAACACATTAAACGAACTGAAAACAACTGTCATATTCCTAACTTGGTACAGGCAAAAGGGAAACTCCTTTTCCCTAATTTTCTAGTAACTTTACAGAGACATGTTAGATGTCAGTCGCAGTGAAACTCCTTTTCTCACAATTTCCTGGTTTGTTGTGAGAGACATCATATATGTCAGTTACAAGGAAACCTCCTGCTACGAAGATTTCCTGGTATGTTGTGAATATAAAAATAAGAAGATGTGGTACGATTGCCAATGAGACAACCCTCCATCAGAGACCAAATGACACAGAAATTAACATCTATAGGTCACTGTACTGCCGTCAGCAATGAGTAAAACCCATACCGCATAGTCAGCTATAAAAGGCCCTGAAATGACAAATGGAAAACAATTCAAATGAGAAAACTAACGGCCTGATTATTGAACAAAATAATGAACGAAAAACAAATATGATATACAGCAACAAACGACAACCACTGAATTACAGGCTCCTGACTTGGGACAGGCACGTACAGAATGTGGCGGGGATAAACTTGTTTGAAGGTGCCAACCCTCATGTTAGATGTCAGTCACAGTGAAATTCCTGTTCCCCTGATTTCCATGTACATTGTATGTTGTTAGAGACATGTTAAATATCAGTGAAAGTGGACCTCCTGTTCCTAAGATTTCGTGGTATGTTGTTAGAGACATGCTATATATCAGTCACAGTGGAATTCCCAGTTTCTAAGATTTCCCTGTATGTTGTGAGAGACATTTTATATTAAGTTACAGTGGAACCTGCTTTTGTCGAGCCTTTGACAGAAGTCACAGAAAGTGAGACATAGGGATAGTGATCCAGTGGCAGCGACAGTGGAGTTAACTTACTACTTAAATATGGAAACCCAAGGGGTCAAAATTCTTATTTCGTAACTTGTCAATTTGTAACTTGTATCTTTGTAATTTCAAAATTCTTACTTCATAAATTGTCAATTTGTAACTTGTATCTTTGTAATATGAAAATTCGTAATTCGTAAATTGTTAATTTGTAACTTGTAACTTGTAACTGTGTGATTTCAAAATTCTTTATTGGTAAATTGTCAATTTGTATATTGATGTTTTGTAACTTGTCAATTCGTTAAATGTCGATTCGTAAATTGTCAATTTGTATATTGTTGTTTTGTAACTTGTCGATTCGTTAAATGTCGATTTGTAAATTGTCAATTTGTATATTGATGTTTTGTAACTTGTCGATTCGTTAAATGTTGATTTGTATGTTTTGAAACTTGTCGATTCGTTAAATGTCGATTTGTTAATTGTCATTCTGATAGTTGTATTATGCTAACGATCATTATGACGACAGATGGTGCTCGGTTTCCTCTTCGGTGTATAAGCCTCCTGTAAGTAGGAGCACTTCCAAGTAGAGTATATACCTAAGTAATTTTATAAATCAATTATGTACAGCATATACAAATAAAAGAAAATAAATAGATAAACACATTGTTTGGTTTATATGGCATATATACCAGGGACTCGGTTTTATATAGAGGTGACCTCGAATAAACATGTATGTCTTCCGGACTGGTCAACACATCTGGCAGGGGTGTGTCACTTCCTGTAATTAGGTATATACTGATGTGTCGCTGGAATGGGCTCACTTATCAACTTCGCAAATATGTTACTGTCACTTGGCAGGAAATATCTTTTTAATATTTGACCGGGTCAAAATTAGACTAAATACATGAAATAAAAGACTAAGCTGGAAAGTTCATACTTATATTGTTCGGGGCCGCAAATTTTGGACTAAATGTATGATGGGAGAAATGGGTTGACACCGTGGCCATTATTCCTTAATATTATAATTAAGATATTGGAAAATAATGTAATTTATATCTAATGATTTTTGAATACAAAAAGCACTGAAATTGATGAAAAATCTTTATTTATTTGGCTCTTGAGTAATGAAGATAAAAATGTTTTATATCATGTACTTTGCAAAACAAATTGAATGAAGTGTTATTTTAAATGAGTCACTTAATTGATGAATACTATATATTAAAACTGTATTAGATATGTAATATTTTGTAATAAAATCTAAAGGAACCAAAAAACTTATCAAGGACCTAAAATGGACTACCCATATTTTCATCGTAACCAAGAATGCAAACTCAACCGTGACTAGGGTTCCTGATAAGGAATTTGAGATATTGCCCACCAGCCGAATGCAAGAAAACCGCATATATTTCACTTGTCAATATTGGAGTATGAAACAATAGTATATGTGACCCCTACACATCTACGAACATCAACAAGCTTGAAAGAATACAGCGACAAGCTGCGAGATTTATAATGAGGAGGCTACAAATCCAGAGAAGATGGTTGTGTCTCAAACACGCTCTTCAAAGACAAACAAACAAAACGCCTAAGCCATAAGCAAATATTTCTGTACGAGATTGTTGAGGGGCTGGTTCTTGCTATAGAACCTGAAAAATTAAAAAAAAAAAAAAAGCTCGTCCAAAAAGAACAATTGCTGCCTAGGGATTTGACAATTATCAGTCAATAAATATTGTGGAAAAACAGATCAAGAACTACACAAAGTGTTTTGAGATTTTAACGATCAAAATCTCACATTCCAACCCATTTTTCGTAAAAACGGTAATTGAGTGGTACATCCTTGAAGACACTGTAGTGTGCACACCGAGCGTTAACAGCTTCAGATACTGCTCTCGGCACCGTCAATAACTTCTTAGCTTCTTGACCAGAAAAGTTTAGTAGGCATGTACAAATGAATGTTAATATATATATATAACATTAAACACGTCTAAATTGAAAACAATGTCCAAACCTATGATTGCGTTGGATAAAAACCGCAATTTTATACGTGTGCATGTAAAACATATTTCGTTATAGAGGGGTCTAAATACAGCACAAACAACATTATATAAAATTATAAATATATGTCACCCCTTCCCCCTGAGACCTCAGTCAGAATAAAAAAAGTCCGATAATAGCATTTTAGGATTAATAGAAACCGTTTATTACCTGGGTTTTCACGTACTGGTTTAGCCTTTCATATCCGACTATATGGATTGGGTTTTTCTCATTGTTGCCTATAATTGCTTACATCGACTGTATTTGAACTTTGTTGGATAATTGTCTCATATTGTTTATTACCACATCTTCTTATATCTATTTACCCGAATAATTCAGTCGCAATGTTCCACTAATCTACGACTACTTCATTAACTTCGCAAGTAGGAGAGATCGATTACGTGAAGGGAATGAACTATTTGGGTTGTATTTTTCATATGGTTTCCGTTCTCGAACGATACGCCACCTGTCGTCTTCAGAAAACAAAATAAAACCTGTATACATGCCATATAAAAATAAAAATGTTATTATTCTTTTTGTTTTCTTTTAGATGCATTTGCTGTGCATTATTGATTTAAATTACTTGGGTATATATTCCATATGGAGGTGCTCCTACTTACAGAAGGCTGATTCACCGAAGAAGAAACTGAGTGCCATCTGTCGTCATAATGATCGTTAGCATAATACAACAATGACAATTTACAAATCGACATTTAACGAATCGACAAGTTACAAAACATCAATATACAAATTGACAATTTACGAATCGACATTTAACGAAACGACAAGTTACAAAACATCAATATACAAATTGACAATTTACGAATCGACAAGTTACAAAACATCAATATACAAATTGACAATTTACAAATCGACATTTAACGAATCGATAAGTTACAAAACATAAATATACAAATTGACAATTTACCAATAAACAATTTTGAAATCACACAGTTACAAGTTACAAATTGACAAGTTACGAAGTAAGAATTTTGACCCCGTTGGCTTTCCATACTTAAAAGCTTAATATTTTAGAAGGTAGAAGACCTGGATGCTTCATACATATATATATATATATATATATATATATGCCTTATGTTATGAAGTTTCCGTCTGATATGTTCATTGTCGATGACCTCATTTTCATGGTTCAGTGACTACTTGAAATAAAGATTTTTTGGAATGTTAATATCTCTTTTATTATGAGTAAATGTATAACTATATTTTGTATTTGCATGCCTTGCAAGGTCCTCATGTCAGGCAGACAATTTCCACTTGACATCAACCTCTTTTCATGGATCAGTGAACAAGGTAAAGTTTTCATAGTCAAGTCTATATCTCGGATACTATAAGCAATAGGTCTACTATATTTGGTGCATAGAATGATTGTACGGTGTACATGTCCAACTGGCAGGTGTCATCTGACCTTGACCTCATTTCCATGGTTCAGTGGTTAAAGTAAAGTTTTTGTGTTTTGGTCTGTTTTTCTAAAACTTTATGCAATAGGTCAACTATATTTGGTTTATGGAAATATTTTGTAATTTACATGTCAGTCTGGCAGGCTTTTTTTTACCTTGACCTCATTTTCACGGTTCATTGCTCAAGCTAAGTTTTTGTGTTTTGGTCTGTTTTTCTTAAACTGTATGCTATAGGTTAACTATATTTGGTGTATGTAATGATTGTAAGGTTTATATGTCTGTATGGCAAGTATCATGTGACTTTGATCTCCTTTTCATGGTTCATTGGTCAATGTTAAGTTTTCCTGGCTAAGTTTGTTTCTTAGATACTATATTTGATGCACAGAAATCTTTTTTTTTCAAGTAGTCACTGACCAATGAAAATGAGGTCAAGGACAATGGACATTAAGTTATAAAGTAGGGTTTTGTTTCCATTAGCATGATTCATTTTTGTCGAGCCTGCGACTTTTGTCGCAGAAAGCTCGACATAGGGATAGTGATCCGGCGGCGGCGGCGGCGTTAGGTAACTTCTTAAAAGCTTTATATTTTAGAAGGTGGAAGACCTTGATGCTTCATACTTTGTATATAGATGTCTTATGTTACGAAGTTTCCGTCTGTCACATGTCCATTGTCCTTGACCTCATTTTCTTGGTTCAGTGACTACTTGAAAAAAAAGTTAAAATTTTTTGTAATGTTAATTTCTTTCTTATTATGAGTAATAGGATAACTATATTTGGTATGTGCGTACCTATCAAGGTCCTCATGCCCGTCAGACAGTTTTCACTTGACCTAGTCGACCTCATTTCATGGATCAGTGAACAAGGTTAAGTTTTTGTGGTCAAGTCCATATCTCAGATACTATAAGCAATAGGTCTAGTATATTTGGTGTATGGAAGGATTGTAAGGTGTACATGTCCAACTGGCAGGAGTCATCTGACCTTGACCTCATTTTCTTGGTTCAGTGGTTATAGTTAAGTTTTTGTGTTTTGGTCCGTTTTTCTTATACTTTATGCAATAGGTCTACTATATTGGGTGTATGGAATGATTGTAAGGTGTACATGTCCAACTGGCAGGTGTCATCTGACTTTGACCTCATTTTCATGGTTCAGTGGTCAAAGTTAAGTTTTTGAGTTTTGGTATTTTTTCTTATACTATATGCAATAAGTGAACTATATTTGGTGTATGGAAATATTCTATGATGTACATGTCAGTCTTGCAGGTTTTATTTGACCTTGACCTCATTTTTACGGTTCATTGCTCAGTGTTAAGTTTATGTGTTTCAGTCTGTTTTTCTTAAACTATAAGCAATAGGTCAGCTATATTTGTTGTATGGAAGGGTTGTAAGCTGTTCATGTCTGCCTGGCATGGTTCATCTGACCTTGACCTCATTTTCATGATTCGTTGGTCAATGTTTAGTTTTCTTGGTTAAGTCTGTTTCTTAGAAACTATAAGCAATAGGTCAACTATATTTAGTGTATTGAATGATTGTAAGGTGTGTTTTTCTTACATCTTCCATTCCTTCCTAAAAACAGATAATATAATGCATTATATGCATGATCCTGTGATTTTCTATCTTACTCTAAGGATATATAAAGGTTATTTATAGAAATGATCAAGTTTCTGTGATCTTCTATCTTACTCCTAGGATTTATAAAGGCTTTTTGTCAAGCCTGCGACTTTTGTCGCAGAAAGCTCGACATAGGGATAGTGATCCGGCGGCGGCTATGGCAGCGGCGGCGTTAGCTAACTTCTTAAAAGCTTTATATTTTAGAAGGTGGAAGGTCTGGATGCTTCATACTTTGTATATGGATGCCTCATGTTACGAAGTTTCCGTCAGTCACATGTCCAATGTCCTTGATCTCATTTTCATGGTTCACTGACTACTTGAAAAAAAAGTTAAGATTTTTTGGAATGTTAGATTCTCTCTTATTATAAGTAATAGGATAACTATATTTGGTATGTGCGTACCTTGCAAGGTCCTCATGCCCGTCAGACAGTTTTTACTTGACCTCGACCTCATTTCATGGATCAGTGAACAAGGTTAAGTTTTGGTGGTCAAGTCCATATCTCAGATACTATAAGCAATAGGTCTAGTATATTCAGTGTATGGAAGGACTGTAAGGTGTACATGTCCAACTGGCAGGTGTCATCTGACCTTGACCTCATTTTCATGGTTCAGTGGTTATAGTTAAGTTTTTGTGTTTTGGTCTGTTTTTCTTATACTGTATGCCATAGGTCTACTATATTTGGTGTATGGAATGATTGTAAGGTGTACATGTCTAGCGGGCAGGTGTCATCTGACCTTGACCTCATTTTCATGGTTCAGTGGTCAAAATTAAGTTTTTGAGTTTTGGTCTTTTTTTCTAATACTATATGCAATAGTTCAACTATATTTGGTATGTGCGTACCTTGCAAGGTCCTCATGCCCGTCAGACAGTTTTCACTTGACCTCGACCTCATTTCATGGATCAGTGAAGAAGGTTAAGTTTTGGTGGTCAAGTCCATATCTCAGATACTATAAGCAATAGGTCTAGTATATTTGGTGTATGGAAGGACTGTAAGGTGTACATGTCCAACTGGCAGGTGTCATCTGACCTTGACCTCATTTTCATGGTTCAGTGGTTATAGTTAAGTTTTTGTGTTTTGGTCTGTTTTTCTTATACTGTATGCCATAGGTCTACTATATTTGGTGTATGGAATGATTGTAAGGTGTACATGTCTAGCGGGCAGGTGTCATCTGACCTTGACCTCATTTTCATGGTTCAGTGGTCAAAGTTTTGGTATTTTTTTCTAATACTATATGCAATAGTTCAACTATATTTGGTGTATGGAAATATTTTATGATCTATTTGGCAGTCACGCAGGTTTTATTTGACCTTGACCTCATTTTCAAGGTTCATTGCTCAGTGTTAAGTTTTTGTGTTTTGGTCTGTTTTTCTTAAACTATAAGCAATAGGTCAACTATATTTGTTGTATGGGAGAATTGTTAGCTGTACATGCCTGCCTAGCATGGTTCATCTGACCTTGACCTCATTTTCATGGTTCATTGGTCAATGTTTAGTTTACTTGGTTAATGTTAAGTTTATGTGACAGTTGTAATAAAGCTTTATATTTAGGACTATCAACATAATATCAATGATTAGTAAAGAAGGCGAGACATTTCAGCGTGTGCACTCTTGTTTTAGAAATGATCAAGTTTCTGTGATCTCCCCTCTTATTCTTAGGATATATAAAGGTTTTAAATTAGTCTTAAATCTTCAATGATTTGATGATCTTATATATTTTGTTTTTAGATGTACCTGATTCTAAAACATTTGATGTAACTCTAATAATAACGTTACTTAGAAACCTGACCCAACTAACCCCTCCTCATGGTGGATATGACCAGTTACCATCTGATAATGAAACTACACCTTCTTCAGATTTAGCCAGGATAAAATACTACAGAAATTTCCTGGCTCACCTGAAAGAGGGGAAAGTAGACAGAACTACATTCACCACAGCATGGAACAATATTACTAATGTAAGTTCATTTTAAATAAAATGTTACCATGGATACAAAATATACAGTTAGAATAATTTCACTAAAAGCCTGAAACTGAGATGTTTGAATTTATTTATGTCTGGGAAATATTCAATCATATGCATGGACCATGTAGCAGTCTATGAAGAAGATAATCCTGACATTCACAAACACTACATGTTAAAAGTAAAACAACAAAAATACAGAACTCCAAGGAAAATTCAAAACAGAAAGTCCCTTATGAAAAAATCAAAAGCTGCAGTACAAAAACATCAAACGAATGGAAAACAACTGTCATATTCCTGACTTGGTACAGGCATTGTATTATCTCTTTAGTTCTTAAATGCAGTGTACATGTAAATCAGAAACTATAAGAAACTAATTTAGTTCTTACAAAACTGCTAAAACATTTACTTTCCTATGAAAACATTAAACTATATTTATTACAAGATAGTTTTGGAGAAATGCTGAATTACTGGTTCTCTGCAACATGTTTATCTCAAGTTTAATATACAAAAATGTTTAACATCTAAACTATCTAAAAAGTATCTAGCCCATTCTTTTGGCCGTCCTCATGTACTATTGACATAACATAGATTTAAAGTTCATAGTTTAGGATGTCATTTCATCCAGTCTGACTTGAATAACCAACAATGTAAACTATAACATTGAACCATTTCTTATAAAATGTTTTATTATAGGTTGCACTTTGTAAATACATCTGTTTCATAAACCACGCCTCTTTTTAGGAATATTCATACATATTTTGTTTTGTTTACTTACTGGTTCCCAGATTTGTTCTTTATACTTCATATCGTAGAGACATAACTTGGGAATGTTACCAGGATAAATACACATGGATAGTGGCTAAATTGAATTCTGAGGAAGATCCAAAGTGAAGGGAGGGTAGTACAGAATTTTAGTATAAGTTCAAACTCTTAGAAGATCGGGGCTTATAAATGTTGAAAATATGCCGAACAGCCCTATGTTTTGACCTTTGAAAAAAATAGTAGTGCATATGAACTTTCCATTCTAGGATATGATTTTTGTCTCGCCTTGACGGAGTCAAAAAGCGAGACATAGGTATGCTGTTTCCGGCATCGGCGACGGCGATGGCGTCAACAATGCATTAGTTTGTGATTAGGTCTAGTTCATGGTGAACCACTAGTGGTAGGTCAATGATATTTGGTATGCAGTTGTATTAGCATTGGCACATCTCATTACCTTGGAGATTATTTGGCCCCACCCCCTCAGTCAAGGTCTATTGACTTTGAAACTTTTCATAGTTTACATGTATTAGTTTGTGATTAGGTCAATTTATGGGGAACCACTAGTGGTAGGTCAATGATATTTGGTATGCAGTTGTATAAGCATTGGCACATCTCATTACCATGGAGATTATTTGGCTCCGCCCCCTTAGTCATGGTCTATAGACTTTGAAAATTTTGCTAAGTTAACATGTATTAGTTTGTGATTAGGTCAGTTCAAGGGGAACCATTAGTGGTAGGCCAATGTTAATTGGTGTTCAGTTGTATAAGCATTAGCACATCTCATTTCCACGGAGAATATTTGGCCCCGCCCCCTTAGTCATGGTCTATTTACTTTGAAACTTTTGCTTAGTTTACATGTATTAGTTTGTGATTAGATCAGTTTAAGATGAACTGCTAATGTTAAGTCAATGATATTTGGTATGCAAATTTATTAGCATTTGCAAGTATCTTTTCCATGGAGATTATATAGCCCCACCCCTGATCATGGTTCATTGACTATTAAACTTTTACATAGTTTACAAGTTAATGTTTGTGTTTAGGTTTGTTTAAAGGGAACGACTTATAATAAGTCAATGGTATTTGGTATGCAGTTGTATTAGCATTGGCACATCTCATTCCATGGAGATTGTTTAGCCATGTACCTTCAGTCATGGTTCATCGACTTTGAATATTTGCATTACTTACATGTTAAAGTATTGCTATTTTAATTTCAACATTTGCATTATCAAAATTACAAAAAGGCGAGACATATCTCTGTGATAACAGTTTATTAACGAAACTTCATAGTAAAAGTGGCACAGTTTTAGCTGTAAAAGGAGTTCCTATGGGACATTGCATTGTCTATATTTACAGAAGTGCAATCTATAAGCAGCAATTTTAGTTTTTAGATTTTAATTTTTATACGACCGCAAAAGATTCACTACAAACCAGTAAAAGTCTGAAATGGCCTATATCTGTACTCGACTGTACTGATTTTTACTCGACCAGTCTGAATTGGTCTGAATTTTACTCGACAATACTCGACCCTAGTCTTAACCATACTCGACCGTACTGATTTGTACTTGACCCTTATCTTTGCCATTGAAAATAGTCTGAACTATTACTCGACCAGTCTGAAACAGTCTTAACCCATTCTCTACCAATTTTTTCAGTCTTAACCATACTCGACCAAAGGTCTGAACAATACTCGACCAGTCTGAACCATACTTGATCAAAAAACCTATACTTTTTTTTAATTTTAGCTGTTAAAATTAATTTCTTTTTTTCTGACATGACAACAGCCACAATAAAATAAAGATATATATAAAAACATATTTTTACATCCTTACATGATTCTCAGATTTATCAAATAGAGATAGTTAAATTAAATTATTTTATTTAATAATTTAATTATATTAATTTTAAAGTTTTAGAGTGTTGTTAAAAAAAAGATTTTCTTTTAACTAAAAACCACACCTTTACTGAGGGTAATAAAACCTTATTAAGGTGCTTCTTGTTTGGCATGTGTTTTTTTTTTTTTTTTTTTTTAAACTTAATTTTCCTAAATTCCTAAAGAAAAACTATATATAGGTTTCATGGTTACATACAATAGTTATATAATTATCTTTTTAATGAGGTAACAACAGCCAAAAAATCACTGAAATTGTTTAACCTTATATTAGAAATATATCTTTTTATTATAATTTGGGATATATTATATATAATATATATCAAAAAAGGATAAAAAAAATTAAAGAAATAGATAAAATTTTTCTTCTGATTAGTGGTAAAGTATAAAGTAATACCTCCTGCTTGGGGCAAACTCATTAAAAAGATCACACCTGGCCAGAGAGTATTAATTTCTAATTAGCATTCATTAAAAATTGCAACATCCTGTAAAACTTAAATCGCAAGGCCTTTTGAATTCACTAGATAAGTAATACACGAGTTTAAGAAAAAAAGGGCTTTCTTTTTACCTGTAAAACACACATGTACTGAGGTAATTAAACCTTATTAAAGTGCTTCTTGTATGCCATGTCTTTAATTTTGACAAAAGGTATTTAAATTTAATTGAAATAAAGTTTTTCTGCAACTTTGGAACACATTTCCTTTTTTAAATGGTTATCAAGGATTGCTATGGAAGTTCTATCATGATTATATTAAATTCTTGGTTTTACAAAACAAAGGTGTGATTTTTAAAATTTATTAAGTTGCTTTATATACTATTTTAAATATATTTTAATAAAAAAGATGTTCACTGCATTATTAACTAAACTCAACTGACACCATAAATCTATACAGGGCTTAAGTAAATGGTGAAAATTGTCTAGTTACCATAAAATATATCTGAAACATTCAAAAAAATTTGAATAACATTGAAAATATTAGCCACAATTCAGTTTTGAGATTATTTGATCAGCTTGTTTTATTTTTATTTTAAAGGTGATATATATATGTAAGTGTTGATAAATATGGAGTTGAATTTATATTATGTTTATTGTGAAATTTTGGTTTCAATGCCATATTGAATACATTTTAAATTTCAAATTGTTGTTCAAATTTCTAGCCAGGGGAAATAGCTGTTAAAAACAGTTCCTAAATTGATGAAATACAATAGATAGATACAAAAATTAGGTCTAGGTTGGTTAAGACTTAGTCGAGTATGGTTCAGACTAGGTCGAGTATGGTTCAGACTAGGTCGAGTATGGTTCAGACTAGGTCGAGCATGGTTCAGACTAGGTCGAGCATGGTTTAGACGAAAATAAAACGGTTAAGTACTGGTCGAGTACAAGTTCAGACTGTTAAGTATGGTTCAGACTACAGTCGAGTATTATCAAGTAAATTTCAGACCAATTCAGACTGGTCGAGTAAAAATCAGTACAGTCGAGTACAAATATAGGCCATTTCAGACTTTTACTGGTTTGTAGTGATTTGCAGTCGTATAATTGTATAATGTTGTCGTTGTTGTCATCGTCTGAAGACATTTGGTTTCCAGACAATTATTTGAGTATAAGTGTATAGATCTCTATGAAATTTTATCACAAGGTTCCATACCAAAAGAAAGATTGGGGTGGATTTAGGGGGTAAGTGTCTTAACTGTTAAGAAATTAGGGGCCAAAAAAGGGCCAAAAACCAGCATTTTTCTTGTTTCAGGACAATAACTTGTTTATAAGCAGATGGATCTGTATGAAAATGTACCACAAGGTTCTATACGTCAAAAGGAAGGTTGGGATTAATTTGGGGGGTTATGGCAGCTTTGGTGACTTGTATATATCTATAAAAATAACCTCCCTTTAGGTTTTGGGATACCATTGCTGTCAAGCAATCTGTAGACTTTTACCAATGACTCCTTTCCAAGGCTCTCATGTCAACCGTTTTGTGCTTTACATTAAAGAACAACTCAGATTCTTACGATTGATCTGTTTTAAAGAGTAAAATAAACAAACAGATTGTATTTAAACAACTTTCCTTTAATTTTCTTTTCATAATTCTCATGTTTTGATTGCTCCCTTTTTAGCTCACCAGGGCCCAAAGGGCTCCATGTGAGCTTATGCCATCACTTGGCGTCCGTCGTCTTTTTGTCGTCATCGTCGTAAACTATTTCAAGAATCTTTTCCTCCGAAACTACTGCGCCAAATACCTTCAAACTTTAATTGAATGTTCTTTAGGGAATCTAGTTTATAAATTGTATCCGAAGTTTTGATCCATCAACAAACATGGCCGCCATGGCTAAAAATAGAACATAGGAGA